AGCTGACTGTCGGGAACCAGCAGAGAGGCAGCAGCCATTTTGAGATGCAACCACATGGCTGCTGCCTCTCAAAATGGCTGCCGCCTCCCCAAAATAGCTGCCGCCTATCTGCTGGTTCCCGACAGTCAGCTGTTCGGCGCCGATGCTGTCCTTTCAGCAAAACGAACTCTCCCCCAGCGAAAGAAACCAAAAACGGCAAAACGAACTCTCCCCATGATGCAACCAAAGCAGAATCACGCATGCGGAAGAGGGGGTAGTCTTATATGGCAAGTATATAACAAACTCTACATTTTGAGTGGAAATGTTGGGGGGTTGTCTTATATGCCCAGTCGTCTTATGCGCTGGCAAATACGGTATTTATAGGCTGCTTTTCTCCCTCTTTGAGATCCAAGGTGGCTCACAACATATAAAATAAGAAATTTTAAAACACTAAATAAATATCACTTTTACAAAACAATGAAACATACATTAAGATCTTTTTAAAGAATCCAGGATAAGCAAGCACATATAGCAGTATGCTGTGAGAATGCAACCCAATTAATCTCCCAGTAAGCTATGTAGAACACAAAGGACTTTCCTCTAAGCAGATACACATATGTACTATAGAAGGCTTCCCATCCTAATGCACAATTACTACAGAGAAAGATCCTCATAGGATCAGTTTATAAATTTTAAATAGGTGTTTATAATCTTCACTTCCCTCAAATGTCGTGCATGCATATATCATAAATGACAACAAGTAGTCAGGTAAGATGTATAGCAACTGTTCATTTTTTATTATTTGTTAAATCAACTTTCAGCTTCAAAAAATTAACAGATACCATGTAGCACATCCTCAAGGATTATTACTGTAGATTTGGAGGGAACAAAAATCCCTTCTAATATGTGAGATGACACACCTCATTCAGTCAGTAAGAAAAGTAATTTACATAGCACAAGAAAATGGCAAACCCAGGCTCTCAATCAACATGTTCTTTTCCGTAGCCATTTCCCCATGGAATCAGTAAAATCTACGCAAAAACATTGTGCATCATATCTCCTTACTTAGTAATTATATGTGCAAAGTTTCAGATATCAATTTTTGTTGCCCAAAGAAACATTTGTGTATACAGTATCTCTGTCGCTGGGATGAGCAAACAATTGTGTTAGTTGCTCAAAATATACTGTATCATAAAAAGGCTTTCCTCATTTCAAGAATTACCTGCACTATGCTGCTGAGGTTCATTGAGCAGGAAACTAGGAGTCCATACTTCCTATCCAACAAAATTACAAACAATTTGCTATTAAAATATGTATTTCTATTATTGGTTCTTTGGATAAATGCAGCTGCGGTATTTTTTATTTTATTTTTTACTAATACAATCTCCAGTCTTTCACAGTAAAGCTAAAGATTTGTTTCAAGCTGCATATTCCCTTATCATATATTGCAAAGAAGTAGGCATATTAGAAGAGCCAAGCATCTTGAGATGTTGGCAGCTGGGCTTGTTTACACTGCCCTGCTCCACCTTCAGCTTTCACATGAGCAGTTCGAACGTCGGCATAGGGGTAGTATTTCACTTGGAACAGAAAAGCGTATTTTAACAAAAAGAAACCAAAATTGTACAGCTGTAAAATTCATCAAATTGAATTCTAGTGTATATCTTCTATTTTAGTAGATTAAAAAGTCATGGCGAGGGAAGGGTTCCCAATGTTTTAGAAAACAGTCAATGATTTGGAGGGTATTTAAAAACATATGAATGTTGAACATCCAGCAGATGGCAGCACAGTGCAACTTAAACAAATTAATATTTTACATGAAACTCCGGGCCTGATTTTAAATGTACAATTGTTCATAAGAATGGTTTCTTCTTAAGTGACAGGAAATATTAGCTTCTTATTTAATGTTTCTTCCAGTTTTTCAGGATCACTTCTGCTGCATCCAATGTGCTGTCTTTCTATCAACACAAAATACCACAACAGCATAAAAAGTGAGACTAATTCATAGAGGAACACATCTAAAGAAAGTGAAACACTATTTAGTCAAACTATGTGTAGGATGCCTATACATTTAGGGACTAGAGAAATATCCTGGAAAAGGTCAGCAGCAGTCAGAAGAAACTTAACATTTCATCTAGATACCTTAACAGCCTCATCTAGAGTACTCTGTCCATTTCTAGATACCAAATTTTAAGAAGGAGGATGACAAACTGGAACAAATTAAGAGGAGGACAACAAGGATGATCAGGGGACTGGAAACCATGCCTTATTAGGAAAGACTGGGAGAACTTGGCGTGTTAAGCCTTGAGAAAAGAAGACTGAGGGAAGATATTATAACACCTTCCAAATACTGTCATACATATGAGGAAGGAAGGGCAAGATCTGTGATCTGCACCCCAGAATGCATAATAGGCTCAAGTTACAGGAAGCCAGATTTCAGCTGAATATCAGGAAAAACTTGTGAATCAATTATTTCGGGAGATGGTAAGTACTCTAGCGCTGTAGACATTCAAGAGAAAATTGGACAACCCACTGACAGATCTACTTTGATTTGGATTTCTGCACTGAACAGGGGGTTGGACCCGATGATCTCACAGGCTCTTTCTAACTCAGTTATTATATGATTATAACTTTTGGGGCACTCATTTGAATATTGTAATTTCACTTTTCAGATAAACCGTTATTATTCTTCAAAAAACTGTGAGACCACTGAGTTACTTAAAGCTGTTTTGTATCTTTCTACATCCTGAAAAAGTTATTTGGGGGGGGTGGGCTCACTCCCAGCTGATTCTGGGAATCTGGGAGTTAAAATTCAAAAAATAACTTTGGTAGCTATCCTGGCTACCCTTACCAATTTTATCCAGCTAATACTGGAACATGGATTAGATCTGTTTCTAATCTTAGGGGAAAGTGAAATACAGAAACAAATAGCCTCTAACACAATTTTAATAGAGCAAGTTGAAATGAACCCAAATAAAACATTAACCATTGCTTTTCTCCAGATAGTACGCCATCTACCCTGGCCCTACTATTAGACTCAACAAGGCAGGTAACAGAGTGTTGGAAGCAGCAAATGAAGTGTTGGGACAGTTTTGTCAGGCACTGTAAACTTACCCTGCCTCCCAATTAAAATGCCAGGCTAATATGTTTTGGTACTGAAGTGGCAAGTCAGAGCATATGCGATTGCTGAGCTCTATAATTACAATGCATAGTATGTTTAGCAGGAAATGTTTAGCAGGAAATGTCTGAGGAACATATGGCCCAATCAAACCCTGGTTCTTAAATTGGCCCTAAGCAATATGAGCTCATCACCTTTGTGTTCCTTCTCCAGTTCTCACAATCCTCTCCCCACAACTCTGGTTGATTTATAGCAAAAAAAGATCATGCCCAAGAAAATTATTAATAGTAATATTAATAGTAATATTAATTTAAATTAATAAAGAAAGGAGAAGAATACTTTAAATATTAACAAATAACAGGATACACACTAAAACTATGAGGTAGTAACAGGGTTTTAGACTAAGACTCAGGGGACCTGGGTTCAAATCCTTGCTTGGCCATGGAAACTGAGTGATGGAGTGGAATTGGTAAAATCACTCCTAAAATATTTTGTTTACCTTGAAACAATGTTGGAGTCATGATACACTGCTTCCAATTTGATTGCACATAACACACACAGATATTAGCCAACAGGATTGCTAATTTTTTAAAATATCACTGAAGTGCTGATTGTAGAACTTACTTTGATGAAGCAAAACCGTATGTATTTCTCAAACTGACCCTTTGCTTCCAAACCGCAAAATGAGGAAAGAGGAATAGCTGACAGTTTCTGAAATGACAAAATGTAATGATGCGCTCACATAATATATGAATCATATTAATATGTACACACAAAGTGTGTAAGCCTGTGCACTCTTACCTGGGATTAAGCAGGACCTGCTTTTGAGTAAATATGTATTGGACTGTACTGTAAAATCAGCTTGGGAGTCAACCAGATGCTTGTGAAAGTTTAAAGCTGTGTTACCCAATCTGAAGTCCTGCTAGATTATAAAACCTAGAATCACTGACCACTGGCTACAGGTGGCTAGAGATTTTGGAACTTGGCCAAATAACATCTGAGGAGTTGCATTTGAGAACCACTGCTGGTTTTTAGTTGTTTATGTATTCTTTGTGTGCCCAGTCTGGGAAGCCCCAATCCACCTGAACACACAATGCACATTTTCTTCATTGCCTTTGGCAGAGAAATGTTTTCTATATCAAACTGAATTTCTTTATTTACAGTAAAAGTCCAAATAATTTGTACAATATAAAAGGAACAAAAAAAATCTACAGTTCTGTTTTATAGATTAGTAGTACTCTTCTTTTTAAAAGCATATTTATACAGTATCTGGAAAATGCAGACTGTAACCAAGTGTTTGCCCAGAACCGCCCACCTATCAAAAGACTTTTGAAAGAAAAGAACTGGTTTTGTCCAGCTCATAGACAGTAGTAAATGATTGCAGGTTCATGTAAGTGCCGGGGCAAGAGGTCAGTTATCTTCACTGAAGTGGGGAAATTGTTCTGGACATCTAGCAATGGCCGTGTGCTTTTTTTCTTCTGCTCAAAGTTCCCTAGACCAGATGCACTTAGCGTTCTAGTAGGTTATGTTCATTTGAAGAAACAAAGCAAATCCTTACCTTAGCTTTTATCATCCATTTCACAAAATTATAGTCATAAGGATTATCTTTTCCCATGTCAGACAGATCTACACCTTTAAAAAAAGCAGAAAAATGAAATACTCCTATTATGAGGGGTTTATCTTTATAAACTATTGACAATTCTTCCCTTTCCCCCCAAAAAGAGTAGAAGAGAAAGATCTGGGACAACAATCTGAGCTAGGAATGCACACTGTTGGTTTGAACACCATTATACTGCACTCTATTTCTCTTTCCATGATGCTAACTTCGAAGAGTTATAAGGTCATGATAAATGGCGATGGCCAAAGATGGCAGCCCTGAGTCATGTTCACTCCGTATTCCTTTCTGAGTAAGTTATTCAAATCCCGAAGTTATCTCAGTGTCCATTTTCCCAATCCCAGCTCTGTATCATGGCTGCCAGGAACACTGGTAGAGGGCTGTACTGTGAAGTAACATCAGAATTTTAAACCAATATTTTTGGCAACAGCAAAAACTGAATTTTTCTGCACCATCTACTTTAAGAATAGCTGCACCATGTCATCCATTGTGTTTCTCACAATGCATATGCTAAATACTGACAAAGTAAACAACAGAATGCTGCAGACCTTTGTTCTTAATTCAGATCTGATGCAGGCTTCAGTATACAGAAATTACACCCCCACCTCCATATTCCTGCTATTATAGATTAATAATTGCCACAGGGTAATACTTTCACTAACTTAGTGTGGATACATCAACAATCATGAAATATCCTCCCTCTGGAACAATAGGTTTCAGCCCAGCTTCCAGGAGCATCTGAGCCATTCGATTCCGCTTCTCCTCCAATTCTCTGGGCAGAGAGTAGAAGTAACAGTTTGGGTCATCCATGCGTTTCAAGTCAATTAAAAATGCTTGTGCCACTGCCTCCTGAAAATTTAAATCAGAAAAGAAAGAAAATCAATTAGCAAAAGAGGCAGCCAGTACACAGAACTAGTACGGTACACTTTTCAGATCTTAAAAATCCAATGGCCCATTTTTCCAGAGGGAGTTTATGCTCAGTAAAATAAATTTACTAGTGTCCCACCCCACTTATGCCGAAAGCTAAGTTTTCAATCTTTACAAAACTTACACCCTAATTTTAAACACATGGGTACGGCACAGCCAAAATGAAGTTTAGAAAAGCATACAGATTATCAGCTGCCAAGTGGCAATTTTTCACAGCATCCATACAACCACTGTGTAAGCAAGTTATCTTTACTATTTGGCCATGGGATAAAAAATATCCTCCACAACAAATACATGGTAGGATGTACTGGAAAACAGTAATCTGCCTCAATTCTCACCTATTCCTGACTACCTAAAAGAATTTCCAAATTCATATTCTATCTAGCACATGCTTACGAGTTCATTTCATTTATAATTCCTACTAATACTTCCCCTATTGCATTAACTCCTCATGCTATTCAGTGGCCTCAACATCCTTGACTGTGTCAAACTTTTTATAAAACACATTGGCCTTTATCCAACAATGTTGCCGTGCTCATAGTAAAAGGCCTCCTGTGACTATAGTGGCACATTTTGAGATACAGGTTTTGTTGCACAAGCACTTTCATAATGGTGTTATCCAATACAACTGTGCTAAGAAGGGATCACTCTCTTAGCATTATGTTACATTTGCTTTGTATGTATTTTGTACCAACCTGTAATGGAGTTGGGCACGTATAGATTGTATTTTGCTGAACAACTTGCAAATGCTTTATCAGATGCTCGGGACCAACAGACCAACCAAGCTTAAACAAAATGACATAAATTGCAACAATTATCTGGTTTTTGATTTAACAGTCACAAAATATTAACAACTTATAAACATAAAAGTGAACATGTTTTTAATCAGTGCTATGTATTTTGCAGGTAAGGTCAAACAAATATTTAACCACAAAATGTTTCCTTGGTTGAATATAACCTATCAGTCGTGTGTGTTCCTTACAAGACAGAAAAAAAACCTAACTCTCCTGCCCTATCCAAGAGTCCTGGTTGGTCTCCTGGAAGTGACTATTACTCATCAGAGACAACCAGGTGGATTTATTTTAAAATACTTAAATTTTTTAAATCTTATCAAGAAAAATGGAAACAATTTTCACCACAATTATAGAATTAGTTATATTCTATAAAAGTACTAACAAACATAATATATAAACACATATGAAAGTTAAATGCACGTGCATTAATTTACTTGTGTTTATATATCTGTATCTATAGAGAGGGATGGAGATAATATAGTGTATTTATAGAAATCAACAAAAAACACAATATTGAAATTAAAGCATGTAGAAACACATATGTATGCAGAGTTCCAGAATATATCAGCATACATGTGAACAGTGCCAGTTTTAATGGATGAAATCCCTCACAATGATCAGTATCCTACTACTAGTTTAAACTAGAAAGCAGTCAGTTGCTGAACAGTAATTTACTATATGTAAATCCCACTGATTCAGGGGGTCTACTCCAGCTCGGACTAAAACCAAAACAAAATGTGCTACTTATATATCACTTCATCATGCTTAAAGCACTCTCTGGGTGGTTTACAATTTATTCATGCATTGCCCCACACCTGAGCTGGGTACTCAATTTACCCAGAAAGATGGAAGGCTGAATTAATCTCAAGATGGCTTCCTGAGCCCATCAAACTCAGGTCATGAGCAGAGTCTTGACTGCAGTATTGCAGTTTAACCACTGCATCACGAGGCTCCTCAATTATTATACAGTATTCATTCAAGTCACATCTTAACTGTGTTCTCTTTACCTTCCAGCCAGTTACACTGTATGTTTTCCCAGCACTTCCTATAGTTACTGTTCTTTCCCACATTCCAGGCAAAGTAGCTGTTTATTTAAAAACATATAGAGAAATAATAATAATTAAGATACTAGAACATACATGCTTTGCTAAACTATTGAGAAAAACAATATTAGATACAAAGCAATACGTATGTTTTATAAATGTGAAGCTTTATGAGCAAATGAGTTTCTCATTTATTTTACCATATCTATAAATTTCATGGTGCATGATAGTATGCCTATAAGAAAAATGATATAGATCTTTGGATCGGACAAACTCTCCCTTACAGGTACAGATCCAAAACTAATGATCTGAAATAATAAAATTCTCTTAGCCTCCATGCAGAGGTGCAGCAAACAAAATCTACTCCTGCCCTTATCAAATTAGGGTCGAATTACATGTAACAGGTGACAAAAAGAACATATGGCAGCACATTCTCATGGTGTGACATGTTTTGGGAGCCTCACTTCATATCATTAGATGACACTGATAGAAAAGTGTTCTATCCTATGAAATCCTGACTTGGTGGGGAATGACTATTGCTAAGTGGATAGGAAAGAAAGGAATACTTTCACACACAGGTTGAAATCCACATCATCTTTACCAAATTTAAAGCAAAGCAAGATATCCACGTGCAGAGCAAACAGCTAACAAGCACAATTTAAGAAGACTGCAATGGTTAACTAGTCACACTGTCAACTAAATGTGATATAAGAATTATTATGCCACACATTCAAGGAATCTAAATCTGGGGGCAAAGAACAGATGTACAGTACTCCAAAGAATCATAACAGTGGTGCGGCCAGCGTATTTGGACATCCTGTTGTTTTCTTCTTACCAGTACATTTAAAATCGCAATGAGCACTGCCATTTTATAATGCTACAGTGGAGTTGATAGCTTTCTTATACTCAAGCAGGTGCCAAGAACAATTAGGGAGGCAAGACACACATATACATGTATTGCCCAAATTGGCACTATCCTCATTGAGATGCCAGAAGAAATCTTTGCCTGAAATATGCAGCTTTTTAAACTTTCAGTGGAGTTCTTAATTGTTAGTCATACCAAACTACTGTACATTTTTGCCCAAGCCAGAGAGCAGACATAATGAAATGTTATACACGACTAGAGGAAACTGCTAATGTAACTGAACAAAAACTATGCTGATTTTCCAATAGATTACTGGCAACTCCTGATTTTGCTGGAGTTAAGGAGTTGCCAGTAATCTATCACAAAATCAGCATAGTTAAAAATTAGGGAGCTGGACAGGGGACAGATTGTATTTGTCTTCAGTGTGGAAGGGATTGTCATTCTCGAATTGGCCTTCTTGAATTGGCCACACTAGACGCTGTTCCAAGTTCTCCATAAAGAGCACGTTACCATAGTCTCTCGAGACTGAAGGATGCCTAATTGGCAACTCCTATTAGGTAAGCGTTAAAAAACCATCACCAGATGTTGTAGACAGATGCAATGTTCATTTCACATTTTTCACAACCAAAGTGTCACTTCAGTTGATAGAATGTATGATGTTTAATATAATCTGTCTGCCAGCAATGAGTGGATCTGTGTTCTCTTCCTAGCAAAAATCTTTACATACAAGCTAGTGAAATAAAGATTTCAGGGAAGGTGAGTTTCTAAAAATAATTGCCACTTACATACAGGTTTTATGGTTTGTATGTTTTTAACTTGAATTTTGTACACATTATTTGCTGTACAATAAAAAGAGTATTCATTCATGAGAAATACACAACCCCAGATGACTTAAAATATGAATAAAACTCAAATAACCTTATTTTAAAAAAGAATTACAATTCTGGATATTCCTCCTTTAAAGCAAACCATGTATTTCCCCATGTGTCTTATTTCAAGTAAGAACACAGTTTTAAGGTACTTCTGAAGACCTCAGGAGAAAAAATACTTATTGGAAATAAAACTGCTCAGACCCTCCAGTAGATAATTATATAAAGGTTATGCAACTTATACAATTCTGATCCGGCCTGTATTTAATTCATATTTTGTTTATACGCATGGCCATAAAAAGGTTAAGAATAAATGGCTGGCTATACTAAGAAATACTACCATATTTTTCGCTCCATAAGACGCACCTCTCCACAAGACGCACCATATTTTCTTCTCCTAAAAATTGATGAGCCTTATGGAGAGGTCCATCTTATGGAACACACCCTAGGACCCTTTGGAGGTTCACCCTGCCCCCCCGAGGGTTAGAGGGGGCAAAATCGCCACCTTCTGGGACTCTTCTGAAGCTTCCCAAGCCTCAAAGGAGTCCCAGAAGGTGGCAATTGCGCCCCCTCTGACCCCCGGGGGGGCAGGGTGAGTCTCTAAAGAACACTTTTCTATCAGTGGCAATTTTGCCCCCTCTGGCCCGGCGGGAGGGAGGGTGAGCCTCCAAAGGGTCCTAGGGTGTGTTCCAGGACTTTTTAGAGACTCACGCTGTCCCCCCAGGGGTTAGAGGGGCCAAAATTGCGAGCTTCTGCGACTCTTCCGAAGCTTCCCAAGCCTCAAAAGAGTCCCAGAAGTTGGCAATTGCGCCCCCTCTGACCCCCGGGGGGGCAGGGTGAGTCTCCAGAGGGTCCTGGAACACATCCTAGGACCCTTTAGAGACTCACCCTGCTCCCCCTGGGCATCAGAGGGAATGAAATCGCCACCTTCTGGGATTCTTGAGGCTCGCGAAGCTTCAGAAGAGTCCCAGAAGCCCCCCTCTGGCCCAGCGGGGGGG